ACAAGGGGATGTGAAACAAGAAGATAACCAATATGATTCTCTCAGATACTTCTGCAGGGAGTGCAGATATAGCATGACCCCATTGATCCCAGATAGCTTCTGCAGACAAGCAGCCAGATCTGAAGTTCATTTGTCTTGGGAGCTGATGATAAACCTTGCAGACTTTCACCATAGATAAGAGGATCATATTCTGCAATGGCCACAAACCATGCTAAGGAAGGTTTGTATTCCTGTGAAAGCTGTGAATTACTAAACCTGTTTTTTTTTTTCATATTTTTCTTGAACCTAAAAAATACAATGATTATGCAACACAATAAAGATATTCTTTTATATTTAAATGGGATTCTTTCATTGAGTAACATCTGGATCATGTGTGAGGGAAGAAATTATACATCTTTTAAAACTCTGCATCTGTTCTGATAATTTTAACCTTGCAAAGACTGGTTTTTGGCTTTTAAATTTTCTCTTGCTGTTAGTAGGACTTTATTTTAGGGTTTCAATTATTTTTACCTGCCCTCTGCAGTCTCTCCAAAAGAGCATTAAGGCAGAAGAGGTTAAAATGACAAAAAAGGCACATCCTTGTACAATCAGGATGCTAAATCCAGCTGAGCAAAGCAAGCAGAGTGCAGATGCAAGACAGAAATAAAATATGCAGCAGACTCAGAAGTGAAAGAATAAAGAAGTCAGTATGGCAGACAGTGAGAATCTAAGCAAACACTGAAAACACAGCCCATGAAAGAAGCAAACACGCACCACTTATAATGAGGAAGGAAAAGTCAGGCTCAGGCCATCCCCACTCATTGGCAACACATGAAGAGAGTCAGCAAATGCAAGCTGTATGGGCTTCTCTGAAAACAAAGGCTTGATTTTCAGAAATTGAATTTTCTTCTTCCCATTAAGCAGTGTATCGCTTTGTAGAAGTCAGTCCCTCCAAAAAATCAGTGTGAATACCAGAATGTGGTTTAGGGTTTTGTCTTCTGGAGAAATGTGTATTCACACTAACTGGGGGTAATTGGAAAGGAATCATTATAAATTATCTGTGGAACTTTGAAATTTATCTCTTGCATTGTGTCATGTTCTGGCTGTAAAGTGAAAGTAAGTTAATGCTGGCGGTTCAGGAAAAAAGCTGGAACAGGAAATATCAGGAAAAGTGAAGGCAGTGAGTAGCTACTCAAAGCATAATTTACAATATGTGGATGTTACACACATACCTGGAGCAAGATGTGCACATGTACACCTTTGCCATGCAGACACTGAGGCAAGAGGCAGAAGACTGAAGCAGAAAACAGCTTAAGTACTCGGTGCTCATGTCCACATGTGTTAGATCTCTGTCCCAAGCCCACCCACACCGAGCCCTGTTTGTTCACTTTGCTAGTCTTGAAAAATGTGACAAAGAGCCCTGGCATGTGGGAAAAAGCTAATGGTTTGCTAAAGCTCTTATGGGTTGGTCTGCTTTTTTAATCCTTTGTTAAATGTGATTGCAGCTCAGAATTAATCTTTTTTTATGTTTTGCGAATTGAATTAAAAATAAATAAATAGCTAAAAGGAGCTTTCTGGCAAATTTATTTTATGTCTGTGCTGTTATAATTCAGCTAGCAAACACCAAGTTTTTCAGAGGAAAACATCCAGGGCTGATGGCCTAAAAGATTAAAAAGCAGAAACAAGGGAGCAAGGAGCTACATCCTTTGCTACCAGCCCAGCATCCATTACTAAGATTTTTATTATAAAGTTATACAAAGGCAGCAGTGACAAATTATGAGCTCAGGAAGATCTCATATATCACATTGATGGAACTAACAAAATTTTAAAATATGTGTCGTTTTAAAGGCTAATGAATAAAGATAAATGTGTCTTGTTCCATACTCCAGAAATGAGCAGCTCTTCAGAATGGAGAACTGAATAAACCTATCGTTTCACATCACTTTCAATTCTTCTACCATAATTTTCACAGCCAGAATAACTTAATGGGAAAGTGATCATCGATGTAATAGGTCATCGAAGCTGAATGTCAGATGGTGAGAAAAAATCCTCAGTGGTTTTAACAGTATCAACAGTATCAGAGGCTTGGTTTTCCTGAAGCCAGGGCTATCTGCAACCAGCTCTCACAGCATTTGCACTGGGGGAACTGCTGGTGCAAACCCGGCAAAGCAAAAAGAAGTTCAAGTAAAGACCTGTTTCTGAAAGGTGGAAAGGTCTAAGCACAACAGACGCCTCAGTTTGACAACGTAAATTCTGTAAGGGCTCAAACAGAAAGGGGCAATTACTGACTTGTGCTCAAGGTCTAATCTTAAATTATAGGATAGTTTCCTAATGAGGGGGAACACTGCTGGAGACAGCTGTGGTATATGGAAGGCAACACTTCAGTAATTACAGATCCTTGCACATCAGTGACAGAAATTACCAAACTCCAAGGGGAAACACCTTCATAATGTTTGTTTTTACAGAATCAAATATCATTCTAAGTTTGTAGTGGAATGGAAACATTCAAGTATGGGAACCTTAAGACTGGATTTCAGCCCTACATGATGCATGTTAGGAGCTGGACTGCATTGGCAGAAGTGAGTTAGTGTGCTGGGATCTTAATTTGGGTTTGGGTATGATAACAATGGTCAACTAGAGAAACACAACACTTGTCAGTGGCACTAGAGAGGGAGAAAAAAAGAAAACCAGCAGACAAGTCTTAGGCAGAACATCTGAAATGGCATAATCAGAACAAACTTGTTCCCTTCTTTCAAAATGACTGCTAGCAGCAAGGGTGTTGAATATTTCATACACTTTCTTATGACACAGAGCATGTTACTGGACAGACTGAAAAAACAATTCACAGTTCGACTTTTTTTTTTTTTTGCCTTTGTGAGCTATACAGTCATAGACAGCAGTCTAAAACGTGGTCTGCAGTCTCCCAGGGTTCTACAGATGACTTCCAAGGACTGCAGCAGAAATAACTAAAGAACAAGCTGTTGTCTCATCTCTATTCAAGGATCTGCATGTCTCCAGTAAATTTACAGGGGTCTACAGGTGAAGAAAGCTTAAAATCTTTGCATTTACACCATTACTATTACATGAGAAGAAATTGATGATATTTTTCCAATTAGTACTTCCATGGATGACTCAGCTCCTACTAGCATGATATTCAACTATATTTTCAGAGTATCTTTGCTTCAGCCACTACACAGAACAAGACCAGATTATTTAATTAGCAGCTGTTCAATGATTTGTGTTCTATTGGTTGTTTAATGGGGTTTCAGGCTTTACTTTAATGTATTCTTTTGTAATGAAGGAAGGATTTTTTGTTTCCCAAGATGCTTGTTTATTGGCATTTAACAGTATAAAATCTGAGTATTTCACAAATATTTTTCTAAGAAAAACCTATGAGTGGATAAAAAAATGGGGGGAAAAGTAAAATAATCTTGGCAACTAATGTGAGATATTAAAACCTGATCCTTTTAAGCACTGATCCTTTAAGCATTCCCTTAATGTTTGGGAATTTTTTTCCATATACAAAAAACATAGCCCCCATTGACTTTGGTTACAGCTCTGAACACAGCACTTTCTCACATCAGGAGTCACACTGACCACCAGGGAAATGAGGAGCTTCCGGATAAACATATACAAAGTTTGCCTGGAATGCAAGGAGTTCTGGAGCAGTGGGACAGAGTCCAAGGCAGCATTTAAACCCCAGGGGCCATTTATCCATACCATATTTTCTCTTTGCCCTCAGCTTTAAGGCCTGTACTTCTGATTGATCCAGTCCTTACCTCGACTCTGTAAACTTCAAGTCCTAATCCTCTTGCACAGCAAAATCTAGGCCTTAGTGAATCCAAGATTAATGGACCACAGGCATCAGCCCCATGTACAGCTCATTTCTTGGACCAGCACTGTTCCCCCTCTCCTTGTATCAGCATCAGTGTTCCCATTGCCTTTCTCCCTTTCTCCTGTGTCAACTCAGCCAGGTTCAACAACAAGTTCTCTTTGTGGGCATTCCCAAGCTCTGATGCTCCCTTCCAGCTTCTTCCTTGCACTTAAATCACCAGTGTTCTCCCGCATCTCTGATTTTGGTCTAAAACTTTCATCCTTCCTCCTCCAGGATCACTTTCCACTATTCTGAGGCTTCTGCTGTGCAGCAGCTTCCCCTTTCCTCCATAGTGCTAGCCAGGGAAAGCTGGCTGAAAACCAGGCTGTGCCCCTCTCTCAGTTCAGACCTCAGCATTAGGTGTGACCTGGTACAGAGCCAGCCTTGTAACAACCATACTGCAGGAAAAGTTATCTAAATTTGGATTGGAATGTGCTCAGGGAAGACAAATCATCTGGGAGGTTAGCTGCTAAAACCGTGGAGGTTTCTGTTGAACATTTGTGACTGACAAACCTTCAAGGGCCTCCCTCTGACTGAGCAAACTAGCTGCATTTGCTGAAGGAGTGTTAAAGAGAGAGACTCTTTCAGCAAGACCACTTCTCCCCCATCCCCCCAGCCCTCCTGACAGCAAAGGCCAAATCTCCACTCCAAACTCCTTTGACCTGACCGAGCCTTTTAGGCTGTGTCTGAAAATTGCAGCCACGTAGAGCCAGATGGCTCTGAACAGCTCAATTCTAGGAGCTGAATTCAGAAGAAATTATAACTGGCTGTAAACAGGGCTTTGTGAGGTGTGCAGACAATTTTAATAATACCTGGAGCCACCAGACTCACCTACAGTAACTGATTTCATTTGAAGAAATCTATACAAAAACTGTTTTGGTACAGCCTACAGTAAACAAGCTTTTGTTTTATCTTCCTCCTCCCCATGTTAATTGTGACAGATACAGCCTGACATCATTGTAATCTGGGAAACAGATAGTTAGGAAAGGAATTGCAGCCACACCAGCACCTAGCTTTCATCTGACTTCTTTCTGCTCTTTGATCTCTTAGCTGGCTAATTAAGAAGTTTGAATCAGCACCCTGCCAAAATAGGTTGTGCCTTTTTTCCATACCTGTGACCCTCAGAAAGAACAACCAGTGTACTCACGTTCAGTGAAAGAGGCATTGCTTATGAGTCTTTCAGCTCTGTTCATTTAGATGGCCATATAAATGTGTGCTGTGCTCTACTGCGGACCCTCCTCTTTCTGCATTTCCTATTCAAAGACGAATTGAGGGGGAAAAAATACAAGCCTTGACATCACATTTTGCAAAGGAAGCGAATGTGCTCCTCCCTACATCTAAATGAATGGCCTTTTAAGGTGACTGCTGAATTAAATTCCTGTATGATGAAATCAACAGGCATGAGAAAGTTCTTATTTCCGAAAAAGAAAAATGTGGCAGGGGAGGAAAAAAAAAAAAATCAGCCAGTATGTGACTGCAGGGCTGAGAGCTGAATAGGAGCTGTTTACACTAACTCAATAAAGATACTTTACTCAGCTTTGGTAGTAAGGCAGCTTCACAGGCTGAAGGGAAATGGGGATATACATATTCTGAGCCTGCTAAGCTACTTTAATGTAAGACATGTGCATTTCACTGAAGTCCTGAAATACCTCACTTAGAAGAAAGATGATTGAAACCCCAAGCCCATCTTTCTGTTTATCATACATTACATATTTCTGACATATTTTGAGCGGTACTGTATGCAACCAACACCAGTCTTTATATATATATGCCTGTAAGGTATGCAGCTAAAACCTAATTTCTGTGAAGACCTAAAATACCCTTAAGACAGAGTAAAAATAATCTCATTAGGGGAATGGGGCACGTCTGGACATTCTCAGGATAGAAGCTCTACCCAAGCACAGACTGTCACTTTACCCTTGCAGGGGGAAATCACAGGGAACCAAACCACCATGAAATGCAAAAATTAAACAGTCTCCCTGCAGTCTTTAAAAAAAAAAAGCCAGAGACCTCCACGAAGGCCATAAATTTTGTAGCGCTCAGGAGGTCACTAATGGTTAATTAACATTACTGAAGCACTTTTCTCTCATTTTTCACAGTGATATTGCAGAAACATGAGAATGCAATGGACACGAAAATCTGGCTCCAGTTTTTTACATCTCCTTATACCTGCTGCCCCAATGTAACCCTAAAACTCGGTCCGTCCTCCACCTCTTCCATTGTTGGGATTTCTCCTGTGGCTGCATTGTTGATAGAAATAATAGCTTTAGGGCAGGAGAGGTCCTTTAAGGTGTTGGTATTTTTATTATTATTCCATCATCCAGACTTGCATTAAGTAAGGTTAGACCAAACAGTGATAAAACACTGATGTCTTATCTTAACTATTCTCAGTATTGCTACAGGCAATGGTGCTACACCAGAGATAACTGAATGTTAAGAGAAGGTGGCTATTTTAGACAAGCCTACATGCGCAGGAAGGAAGGGAATGTGACACCTCGTTACGGATTTAGATTTAACATAAATGAAGCAGAAGCAATGATTTTCCTTTTTTGAAAGCAATTCCTCCTCCTATCACAGATTTACAGGTGGTAAATTAATTACTTGGGCAGTACAAATAAGGAATGGAGAAGGAGCTGAATGATGGATTGAAAACCTTTCAGAGGCAAGTGACTTCTCTCACAACAGGCAGGGGAACACTGCAGTCAAAGCTACTTTCTGTGTCATAATCTGGAGCTAACCCTGAACTGGATGTCTCAGCAGGGGATGTGACAGCACTACACCCTTTTAATTTCTCCTGTCTTCTTTGCTCTCTGTCTACTAAAAGAATGAATTCTGCAGAGTTTTGGACCCTGCATATATCTTATCCATAGCAACCACAACACTTCCCTCAGATTTGCTAAAATGCAAATCTTGAATTTAGGTGAAAGAAGATGGATCTTCCCCCCATACTCTAATTCTGAGCTTGACTGAAATTTAGAGGTAAACATCTTTGTCAGCATCAGGGCTTCCTGATGGCCCTTCCCATCTTACAGCCTTCAGACTCTGGCCTAGCAACCCATGACCTTTGCTAGCAATCAGTGGGAAAGCACTGAAGAAAAATTTCTGAGTGATGACTCACTCTACCAGAGCTTGGTTGCTCTATCATTTTCTAATGCTGCTGATGGGAAGATATTTTCTATTGTGAGAGGCTTGTTTTCCTGCTCCATAGGAACAATGATGCATAAGGATTTCCTGAGGAGTGACTTCTCTTTAAAGTAAGTCTTCTTGTCTCTTAGCCTCTGGAAGACTAACTGAATTACCCATTACCCAGTTAGTTGTAACCTTCCTGTTCCCTCCTGTGTTTTCAACACCTACTTTAATGTAGAGGACTCCTCATTGGACACAGGCACTGGGGAACAGGGAACTAATGAAAAACTTTCATAAATCAGCAGAGGATGTGGAAACATGTAGGACCCACAAAAGAAATCAGGGGACCCATGTGGAATACAGCATGGGGGATTGCACTTGGAGTTGAGCAACACAGTTCTGGCAATGCTGGAGTGTGAACTCCAACTTGGAAGAGCTGACCCTGATGAGGGTCATGGCGGCAGACTTATTTCTTCTCTGATCAGAAGTAGCACTTGGGGTTTCTTAAGAAAGAAAAGGCACAACAGCAGTCAAAGTTTATCTGTTTGGGCAGAAGTCCCAAAGCCACTACATTCTTCCCCTTTTATTTACAGCCTTCGGCGACGACCCTGCTCTGATGGCTGCAGACTGTAATGTTTCACTGGAAGCACAGCTGGCTGTTTGGGGTGGCTGACACGCAGAGCTGCACCTGCTAGAATAGATGCTAAGAAAAGAGATGTGTTCTGAGAGATACAAAGGCATTGTTTGACCCGTGACAGACTGCATGGGCAAAAGAGTTTGTTAAGACCATCCTGTGTGACCTCCTGCATTGACCATCTGCTGGCTCCTCGCTGGGTGACAGAAAGCCTTTCAAGATGCTACCAAACCTGTAGAAATTACTCTGGTTTGATGGTGAGTATTGGTAAATATGTGTGCATGTGCCTTTAGATTGGAAGAGATGTCAGTCACACTGCATAGCTCACTATTGTCCCTTTTTCTACTCCCAGGAGGCTGGGAGAAGCAGCTGTACTGCAGAGATGCCAACCATCGGCAAAATACAGCAATTGTTTTATGAGTTTAATGCTATTTATCTTCTAATTTATTTACCAGAGGTACATGTAATGCTCAATGAGAGCCAGTTTGCTGAGGAGAAAAGTCTTAAAAACACCCTTCCATTTGCTAATGTATTTTTCTTATTAAATAGATTTTTTGTTTGTTTTAGAATATTTAAGCATCATTAAAAAAAAAAAAAAGGAAACAAGTAAGTGAGGGTGGAGAGCTCAAGCTGAGAGAAGACGGGAGCAGGCAATGGAAAGCAGGCCAGCCAGGTCTCATCTTCTTTTTTCTAATTACTTGCCCTACCAAGGACGGGGCCCCCGTTGGCCTGGAAGCGTTTGGTGCCTGCTCCAAAGGCTCACATGCTTAGGGTGAATGGTCACTCTGTGTAACTGTGTCTGAAGGAGCTCACTCTGATCTCCAGACAAAAGTGAGAAAGTTGCTGGCTTGGTTATTTGCCAGCACAGGTACTGCAATCTCCTCTGTGTTTACTACAGGTATTTGTTATGGCTGGGACCGCACAGCGAGCACTGCCAGCCTCTGCACCAAGTGGAATTAATTGCAGGAGAGAGGCCCACTGCGGAACAGATAAGAGGGATCTAGAAAAATGACGGAGGCCAGACAGTATGAGATAAATGGTGGTGAGAAAGCCTGCATTAATAGCAGTAATGTAGCTGTGTTTCCTGAAATGAGAGCAAGAAATTCCCTAGTGTGGACACACTTCTTGTTGGCCAAAACATTCTGAATTCCTCAATAATCAGGCAGGAAGTGGTAAAATCCATCATACAAAATGAACACGATGTTATTTTTTCCAACATTAAAAATACATTTTAGGTCATAACTATCACAGAAAATCAGATTTTTTTTTCTGCCATACATGATTTTTCAGTGATGTACAAGTGGAATTTCTGTACACAAAGATGTGTTTTAGGAGCTTTGCTTCCATCCAGATCAGTACTTTATCTAATAGGTGCAATGTTCAAAAGTACTCACTGCTCTTTCAAAAATTTGCTCAAATAAAAATTATGTTTTAGTAGCTTCCCAGTCAAGTAACCAGAGAGAAAAGCAGAATTATAACAGCCATCAGTTTTGTGCTTTGTGTAAACAGCTGGAGTTAGGTAATTTCTGATTTATTTTTGTCACTTTGTGTGATTTTGTCCAGTTTGCACCATAACTGAAGTCAGTGTTGACTCTGTACCACAACAGGTCTACAGGCTTGTACCTACCTTGCCTTGGTTGGCTGTTCTGAGAGCCTCCTACCAAGATTTCCTGTTGCCTCCATTTTAGAGCAGTTCTGTCTTTTCTGCAGTGAGTGGAAGTTAGTAAGACCCAGCAGATGCTGCTGCCTGAGTTCAGTCAGCAGAGTAACACTGTGATTTCTTCCAGCTTCTTTGCTTGTACATCAAGAGGAAGGAGGATGCTAACTTTATAACTTCTCCCCATTGTGCCCCAGAGGTTAGGCACCTTGCCATATACAGATGTTATCAAAAATGGAATCATTTTATAAATAAACTGTGAAATAACAACGGTCTGCATAAATGTATGCTTTGGTTCAAGACTGATGTATTCCATTCTTTGAGAACATTCTCTAAATAAACTGAATGCTTTCATTTTATACTTTGTTATGATTTATCACATTGTGGTTTATTTAAGGCTTTCAATGTTCTCTCTTCCATTTGCTGAACTTTAGATATGGAATTAAAATACGCATGACTTCACAGTCTTCCTTTATATTCAAAGAAGAAGCCATGTAGCTATCACAATGGATTAAGACATACTATATTAAAACCCTGTCACTTTTGCAACTGCATTTATGCAAGAAGACAACAGTAGCTAATGGGTCCATCTAAGACATTGAGTTGAATGGACAATCTTTTCATGGCTGTGGTAATTATGAATACTCTGAAAAAGGCTGCTTTGCCAGTTGTAGCCCAAGAAAATTGAATACTGTTCTCTTGCACAAAATGCTCTGCAAGTATTCAGCCATCTTATTCCATTACATGCCATTACAAAAAACAGTGACTTGTTTATTCATTGGAAGTTCATGAACATACACTACATCTTTTGACAGTCCATAAACACTGCTTTAGCCTT